CCCAAAACACTATCCTAATTTCCTTTCTACAACTATATTTGTCTGGAAGAAACCCCTTTTCCCCCCTTCTTCCACCTTTATCCAGAATGCGCGGCACGGCGGCCCAGTGACTAGCACTGTTGCCCTATAGCAAAAATACCAACGGTCCTCGCTGGGCCATATAGTATTTCTGTGCAGAGTTTGCATGTTATCCTCATGGGTTTCTCCTGGGTTCCCTGGTTTCCTCCCACTGTCCAATTATGCTTTATATCATAGACAAAATAAGCCTAGTTCATTTTTATAAATGTTTGCTCTCGGGAAGTTCACCTTAGTCTCAGTAGTGGGGGAGTTTTGAGATCAACCAATCTCCTCTCGGCCTGCGAAAGGGAGGGATCCCTGGGCCCGAGGATCCCTTGAGCTCAAGGCTCTCTCCCGGGACAGCATGGCAAACAAGCTACTTACAAATCATGAGCTAAGTGTGATCTCTTGAAATGTTCATTGTGAGTTAAGTTAAATGAACTAATGTTAACAAATGGAGCCTTGTTGTACAGCGTTAATCAACAATATGCCTATAAATATTTCGAAAATTGTAGAATGTCTTAGACCAGATTTATAAGTGAAAATATATAGGCTTCAGTAATTAAGTTATTCAATAATAGAGCTTAAATAACAAATAATTATTCACAGTAATTGGAAGTGTCAACGATAACAACATCATGCATGTTCATTATCACAATATATTGCAATATTAAACACCAGCACAGGCCTGATACATACATAGTAATTGTTTCATGTAATTTATTGAGTCATATTTCTCTTATAAGCTACTTAGAGTCTGTTGTCCAGACTTTTGAACATTGCGACCTTACTTGACCTGACTATTAAAGACTAAAATCAGTGTCTTTTCTTTTCCTCTCTCAGCAATAAACTCCTTAGCCTCATTTTCTTTCTCAGTTAATTCTCAGTCTTTCAGATGAGGAGTCTGTGATCAAGTTTAAAACATCAAATATTCATTACTAGCAGCATTTTTTATTAATCGCAAACCTGAACGGAACCCAAACATGACAGGAACCAACCGAAAGCGTTTGTCCTTTATCAGCCGCAGAACATTGAGGACTGTTTGCTCTGAGCGAAAAATATATATTTGCATGAGCTTGAACGTCATGGTGCTTTGCTCAAGCAGTAATAACATCATCTATGAGCTCATGTGTGTGTGTGCTTAAGTTTATTTGGCAGTGACACATTTTAATCTGTTTGTTTCACAGTTGCACACAGCAGCCCAGAGGCATTTGCCTTCTCCAGATTAGCATGCTAACACTGACCTCCTTTAATAAGCCTTGGCATCTTACTCATCCTGGCATCTTCTTTCTTGATTTGTTTTTCCCCCTTTACTTCAATTATGCCTTTTGTTTGGCTTTGCATTTTGGCATGAAGCCAAATCCATTTGTTTAATTTAAAAACTTCTTCTTTTCTGAATTGGAAGACGCTCTGCACACTTGTCATCCAGACTTGGGCAAAATATTAAATTTAATCACCTCCATTTTGATTTATGAGTTGGAAATGAACTGTCCATGACCTGACAGGAACATGAATTGGAATTTTAATCTGAATGACTGGAAGCGCAATTATGAAATGTGGTTCAAATCATTTTAACAGGTAATTGCCTTCAGGAAAATGAAGTTCTTCAAATGTAGTTTGGTCTTAAAATACCGTTTTTATCATTATTTTTTAAAGAGTTAAACAATTCTTATTGTTATGAATTAGATTTAGTGAGGTCATATACTGTACATGTCCCCTTTTGGATGAATATTTTTACTTAAAGGGTATTTGCACTTACTATTGCTTACTTTTATCATCTTCACACCAAGACCTTTTTGAATAGGACATTAAATCTTATGAAGATTTGGAGTATCATAAAATGCAGGTCATTGGCTCCTTGCACTTTAGGAGCCCGAAAAACATATACAGGTAAAATAAAAATGACCCATCTGTAATACCATCTGCTAAAGATTTGGATTAACTCTAAAGGTTATTGCACACTGAATCTGAAATTTTCACCTGTAATTTTCGCATTTTGAAAAATAAATTCAACCCCACAATGTGTCAATCGTAGTAAGCCGACTTATAAGCGAAAAGCACAATCTAAAATGGCATCGGAGAACCTAATCCACATATATTGTAATAAGCTGCCTTATAAGCGAAAAGCTAAATCCAAAATGGCATCGTAGAAACTAATCAAATTATATAAATGTAATAAAAATATTGTAGTAATATTTTTTCAATGATACTGTGTTATGTATTTTGCTTTGTTTGGAATTAATATGTATAGCTGAGGTCAGTTATTGGCCAGTTTTTTATAGCACCTCTAAAACACTGTGGAAAATGATTAAATATTTTATTTTATTTTTATTAATAATTTTATATATATATATATATATATATATATATATATATATATATATATATATATATATATATATATATATATATGACCAGTAATGATATACAGCCATATCTCACTGCTACGAGTGTGATATTGCGTTTATACAACAGTTTGATGGCATAATCATGTATATAAAAAAAAAAAATCAAACGGAGAGTCTCAAAAAACGTTTTGTATGAGTAACTACTTTCTTCCACCATTCATTCTACAATTGACATCAGAACAGCAGAAACCGTTGAAACGTCTTAACAAACATGTCTTAACACATGTAACTTAACAACCGTCACTTTAGATCTAGTATTTGAGAGATTCTCTTGCTAGCATAATGTCTAAAATGATGACCAAGCAGATGATTTTGCTCACATTTTGAGATTAAATGGCTGAACGGCATGAAATCCTATTCGTCTACAAAAGGTTTCCCAGTATTTCTCTGTTGCAATTGGGATATCACAATAATTAACCCCGAAAAAGCCAAAGGAAAGCAATCACTAATAGAATACTATGTTATAACTACAGCCCTACAACATACAAAAGAGAGAGATTGTTTGAATGTTACTTACCTGTTTTATAATGATTTGATCCGCTGTAGTTTTGAAATACGAGGATTTTTTTCCCCTAAGAACTTTATGCAGTCGTCAGCAGAACGTCAACCGTCTTTGCTCTACTGCAGGCTGATGATCGATAACGCACTGAATCTCCTAAATTATGAATATTTAAGATAATAAACTGCATAGTTGCAATTTAAACAACTACATTCTAGCCTAAAAAGCCTCAAAAGAACATTATGTTGTCCAACAGCTGCAATATTTGTCAGACTGTAATACTCTGCTTGCCACTCTGTGGACAAAGTAATATACAAGAGTATCAGCCAATCAGATTCGGTAACCAGACAAAACTGTTATATGCTTATTATTAAAAATATATATTATTATTTATTTTTGTGTCATTGTTTCTCTATAGCTGAACCATCTCGATTATAAAAACAGCATAGTTTCTCAATAATCACTTCAAATCCCAAAAGGACAAGATGACAAGGAGACATAAGGGAGTGAAACTGCACATAATTTCAAACCAAGCAATCAAACCATTTGTGAAAATATGTGCTTTGATTTCAGAAAAAGTAGACCTTTATGATTGCTCGCGTTTGTGCATTCCGCTTGCAAAACCTAATATTGGTTGTGGTTTGGAGAGCCTGATATAGTGGAGTGGTTTGGAAATGTTTGGCCCACAGCTGCATTATCATGAGAAAACACCAAGATTACATTCAGTACCGTCAGCACTAGAGAAATGCGAGAAGTGTCCTTGATGAGTCCTTATTTTGCTGAGCTAGAACCAACTCGCCATGCATTGTGTGTGTACGCTTCATTTAAAAACTAATTACCGCAAAGAAAGCGACTTCATTGTTAAACACATCCCCATCCCACAGCCATTGAAACTCATGACTAGAAAAGCACAGTGTGCTTACACAATTCAGCCCAGCCTACTGAAAAACAACAACAACAACAATAATAAAAACTAAAAACTAAAAAAAAGAAATGTGTAATGGTTATAATAGAAATACTTGCTTTCTGCTGCTATTATTTTAACATATTCAAATCAATAAATCCTAATGTAATATGTACTAAAACACTACAAATTAGGGCTGCATGATTTTGATAAAACTGACACTGCAATGTTTTATTATGCGATACATATTGCAATTGTTGAGTATAATCTCATTAGATGAAGTGAATAGCTATATCTGGAAAGAATTCATAATTTTAGATTGATTAAGATGATTTTGTAAGGATCATCTGCAAACAATATTATAAAATAACACTGTGTTGTCTTCATCGTATATATACATAAATACAATTAATCTTTCCTAAAGTTACAAAGTGTTATGTAAAGTTACTTTTGAAAGTAATCCATTACAATATTGAGTTATTCCCCAAAAAAGTAACTAATTTAGTAATTTTTTATGGTAAGTGATGCATTACATTATTTTTAAGTTATTTTTCCATTTTTTTTCTCAAATTAATGCATTAGAAAAGTACGTAACTCACATTACTTACAACCCTTGTTACAAACATTATATTTTCTTCTGCCTGAATGTTGAACGTTCACACAGTCACATGCCTTAAAGACACAATAAAATAATTATTAAACTTTGCAGTGGTTCATGTGTGTTTCCAACTGTTTCTCTTAATCAATTAGATTTCTTCTTAACATCCCAGCAGACACACATCATAGAACATTAAAATTAGGTAAGATTTAGGTCACCAGCGTCTGGGGACAAAGTTATTTTGACTTCCAATAATGACATTAAATGACGTTGATATTTGGTTGATATTAGGTTGTGTTCGAAAGTGACCAAATCCAACATCACATTTTAAACCGCCATATTGATGTCAAATAATGACCTTTATTCGTCAGGTATGACAACCAAATTCCAACTTCTGCATAAGCATTGTAATGCTTATTATGATATTTGTTTTGGAAACCATTAAAACATCTATACTGGTTTGAACTAGTTTTTAACAGCAGTGGTATTGATGAAGATGACTGAAGGCTTTACTGAATGCTGGTGTATTTGCAGGTTTTGGAGCATTGGGATCCTCTCAGCAGTCCCACAACTAGTCTATCTGTCCATGCTCTTCCTCACAGCGCTCCATATCTGCACTGGCCTTCAGGTCCAGAATTTGACCTGGCCAAACCTGACCCTTATGACCTGTATGAGAAGTCCAGGGCTATCTATGAGAATAGGCGTAAGTAAAGGAACCACATTTTCCTAGCACCAGAAGCTAGCATTGATGTATGCTTTACCTGCTTTGTTTCTTCTGAAATTGGCACATGCTAATACAAACTTCAATTGAATTTGATTCAGTTGAATCACGTGGAACATTTGAGAGTGTTTTTGGTTTCTTTTCTGGATTTTGAATATCTTGTGACGTTTTGAGAGAACTTGTTGTTGTTGTGGAGTGAATAAATGTTTATAGTTTGCCCTTAAAAAAATGACATTTACTGCTATAAGTCTTCAATGACCATTATGTCAGCTCTCAGTCTCACCAAACTCTTTTCACTTTTGCATCTTACAGTCTGCGTTCTTCTCGCGGTGTGTGTTTTGAGGTTGTTGTGTCTTGTCAATTTGGAATCGAGATCTGTAGAGCTGTAGAAAAAGCCTGGGAAACTTCAGTGACCTCGCAGTGCGTTTTTGACGTTGCGTAACACTTTGAATTATTAAAGGCGGTACTTTTTTAACCAAATTTAGAGACGCTAGTTACCACACATACAGACTTTCTGAACTTTCTGAGTTCCCCGTGAACCATCATTCATATTCATTGCATTTTAAGCATAAGCATATGTTTAATTCAGCAAATAGTGGGAAATGTGTCAGCTCATATGAATATACTCACTCCCAGCGTGCTATTGCCTGCATATTGAACAGATACATTTGAACTGTCAATGGTCGCATTTCTTTATATATATATATATTGCAGGTAAATATAACATGAATTGCCATACATGTGGGTTCAGCTGTTGGAGATGCAATATGTAGTGACACAGTATGTAGACATTAAAAAGTCCTATAAGGTAGTGTGTCAGTCAGTTTTCATGAGGGGTGATGAATTTATAATGAGCAAATTTCAGGTCTAAGTATCTAAGAAAGGGTTCCCAGGTAGCAAGGAATATTTCGTTAGAGTTGGACCTAATAAATCTGAACCTTTCCAAGTGGATAACGGAGACCATATCTATTAACCAGGTTAGAAAAGAAGTAGGTAAAAAATTTACAGTTCTTTTGTATTAGCTGCTTGGCCACAGTCATGCCTAGAGTAAGGGCTTGTTGGAGATGTTTTGGAATGGTGAGGGAGTGTTCTGAAAAACCAAAAATAGCAAGCTCTGTGTCCGGTTGGAGGGAAATATTACAGGCCTTGGAGTAAAAATCTAAAATCTTTGTCCAAAAATAGACCTGAACGCATGACCTGTGGTGTCCTCTGTAATTTTACACTTGTCACACATAGGTGAAATAGAGGGATAAAAATTTTTGTAATTTGGTTTTGGCATAGTGCAGGTGATGCATAACTTTGAACTGTATTAACTGGTGCCCACTGTTTATCGAACAGGACCGTACAGTAGTCAGGCACTTTTCCCATAGTTCCCCCTGATATATCAATTCCAAGTTCATCCTCCCAAGCCAGTTTAAATTTCTCATTAGAAGTTGAGGCAAAGGTTTCAAACAACCCAACAAAATTTGAAATAAGATGAGTGGACAGCGGGGGGTTCAAGAAGAATAGTCACATTTCTAAAGGTGAATTTATATTGAACAGCGATTAAATCAATAGAGGTCTGTTTGGCTTCACATTATTACTCTTTTCTCTGTGCATTTACATAAATCTGAACTGGTGTATATCATGCTAGACGTTTTTTTCTAGTGTTTTAAATCAGCAGGGATTTGATGTGCGCTTCCTCATTAATGTTTCCTATTTTACACCACCACCTTTATTTCATATATTGTTTTATTTTTAGTATTTGCAGCTACAGATGACAGGTTGGCAGTGGGTTTATTGGTTGATACAGTATATGTTGGTGTTGTTTGTGTATGCTATTATCTTGTGCGGAATGATCTGTTATAGATTTGTGAGTTTCCTCTAGTATTTCTTTTTACTTTGTGTCGTTATTATCATTAGGAGTACTACTGTATGTTGCTCTGACACTTTAGCATCTATTGTACGGAATTTCTAACTCCAGGTAAGTATGCTCATTTACTTGATTACATTTTCTATTTTTCTTTTGTGAGACATGTTTCATATTTTATGATTAAGGCAGTTTGAACAGAATGTTTTAGTGGGTTCAATCATAACTCAGGGCCATTCACACAGGTCGCATCTTTGGTCAAAAAACATAAGGAATGTGTCTTAAAAAGTGCTTCATATGTTTACATAAAGCTTGTAATTTATACTTTTAATCTGTTCTTTGCTTTTACATGCCTGACCAAGAGGATTTCAGAAATGATTGAAATTACTTGCCTTAAAGAGTTTTTGGTCAACAAAATATTGGTCCACAGCTTTAGATCTGGCATTGATGAGTGGTGCTTTGTAAAAGTAAGAATTGGAAAAGTATAAAGTAGCGTAATGGACTGGAAAAAAATTATCTGTGTGAATAATACCTTAATGTTTTAAAACTGTTTGAATATTATTGCATCCATATTGCTGTAAAGATTTTGCCATCTTTCTTTCTGGTCTTTCCAAATTCTTAACATTGCAGTAATACCTAGTACAATTATATACAAATATTCTGCTAATTTCAATACATATTTATGTGATCTTTGAAGCCTGAAGGCATGAGGAAAGTAACTATTTTTTGTTATGTCATAAAACTGGCTAATTTATATGAACTTATACAATTTTTCTTTTAATGAAAATGTAAGATATTTAAACGGAGGTGTCCCCCCACCCCCCAACCTAAATGTATTTGGGGAATGAGCTAATCAAGCTAAACTTTACAAATGATATTGTACAAATGAATGAATAAGAATTGGATACTAAATCAAAATTTTACAAATTGTTATCCAGTGTTTTATTCTGCTTATTTATGTAGTTGTTTTATACTTGGGATTTTTCCATGTATTATATACTGCAAATTGTAAATTTAGTCATTTGAAATAATTTGAATTTCTTAAAACATTCAGAAATAGTGCAGTTTAAGGATTAATCATAAATTAACCGCGTATAAAATAAATGTTTGTACTTACATAATCAAATTTTTCTATGCATGTATGTACATATATAACTGGATGTGTGTATTTATATACACATAATAAATATACCCAATTATTTTGTAAACACAAAATCGTTCAAAATCTTGTTTCCTCTACTAAATTAAAAAAAGAAAGGTAACTGCCATGTATTCAGATTTTTGTTTCTTTCTTAAAGTAAAAAAAAAAAAGCAATTGTAAGAAAATGCTATTTTTCCCCTTCTGAATTGGACTTCATAATTCCAAGTTTTTATCTCCTATTTCTATTTAAATCCATCAGTTCTGTTTATATAACTAGCAAATATGTAATCATTTAATAAGCACACATTTAACAATATAAAAAACAGCAGCATCTACATATTACGAAACTCTAAAAGCATGCAAAATCTCACAGAGATGCACACAAACACTATGATGTAATTTGACTATTTTAATGTATTTTAATGTCAGTTGTAATGTATTTTGATGTAATTTGATTTAACTGATTGATTTCAAAAGAGATAATTTGCTTAAAATAATCAAAGTAATGGAAAATGCCAGACCAGTCAATTGAAAAGCATGTGATCATCATCACAAAATACACTCATAGTTGTTAAAAATGACTAGCATAGAGGTTTCAAACAGTTAAGCAGAGTTCATTATACAGTACATGTTTTCAGCATCCAGTCTGCTGTGAATCCTGAGATGAACCATACAGAAATTATATAACTCTAATGCCTAAATTAAGCAAGAACTGGCTTCATAACATACTGTACATCCAGTAAAAATGCCACTTGATTTCAAGTCAGTCAGTCGGAGGTTCTCATATCTTGGTGATTGAATGACATTTGTCTTTTAAGCCTCTTTTTTGGGAGCAGTGTACTGTACATTAACCCTATTGCTTTGTAACCACTGAGACAAGTTGTGTATCTACTGTACTGTAGTTCCTATATTTCCAGGTGTATGTTTATATAAGTTGTGATTTATGGGCTGTTCTTGTACCTCTCTCTCTTTCTTAGAGCCAGGCCTTCCTCGAGCGTCCCTCCCTGCTGACCCCTCCGGTGAGTAAATAAATCTACACCCAAAACAGAAACATCTGACACAAAGAGTTCACCAGAAAATACACTCTGGAAGTTTGGAATTCATTGCTTATATCCAGTAGTTGTGACCTGTGTAATTTTTTTTCGTTTCACTTTGTTTTGTCTGGTAAAGTTTTTTTTTTTTGTTTTTTTTTACTATCATCAAATAAATGTTGGATTTACTTACTGAAATTATATGGATTTTTAATTAATGAATTACAAATTAGTTTTTTTTATTTATATATATAATAAAAATGTAATATACAGTCATGTGAAAACATTAGGACATCCTATGAAAGCCTGGGTATTTTGTAAGTTTTTTTAATAAATGATTATTTAATCTCAATTTTAACAATGCAGAAGATAAAGGTAATATAACTAAACAATTTACTGAAACAAAGGCTCTTCAAGACCTTTTGTAAAAAATTTAATTCTACAGAAATGCATATTCTAACTGAGGAAAAAGTTAGGACACCTCACATTTATTTAAATTTAAAATGGCTCAAATCACAGACAGGTGTACCACAACAGGTGCACGTTATTAGTAAATCATTTGAATGAAGTTTGCCCTTTCTAAACCTCTGAAATGTATTTTTGGTGTTCTCCTGACTGTTGAAGTGAAAGTGAGTACCACGGTAAGAGCAAAACAAAATTTAAAAAAAAGAAATTGTAGCAGCCTACAAGTCGGGTAAGGTATTTAAAAAGATCTCAAAAGATTTTGAAATGAGCCATTCCACTCTCCGTAAAATAATCTTTAAATGGAGGGCTATTAGAACAACTGCCAACATGCCAAGGTTTGGTCATCCCAGCAAGTTTACCCTGAGAGCAGACTGCAAGATGAAACAAGAGTTCTCCAAAATGCCTCTTCAATCAGAAAGAGACTGCACAAGTTTAACTTGCATTAGAGGTGTGCAAGGAGGAAACAACATCTAGTCCAGACTGAAGTTTGCCAGAGAATATTGACAAAGACTAGGACTTCTGGAATAATTTTCTTTGGACAGATGAGTCTAAAATTGATTTTTTTGGACACCAGAAACAGCATTTCAGGAAAAGAACTTCATACCTATGAAACACGGTGATGGGAGTGTCATGGTTTGGGATTGCTTTGCTGCAGCAGGACCTGGTCAGCTCACCATCAGAATCCACCATGAATTCTACTGTGTATCAGAGGGTGCTTAAGGAACACATGAGACCATCTATCTGAATATTAAAGCTGAAACATAACTGGACCATGCAACAGGGCAATGACCCTAAACGTACCAGTAAATCAACCAAGAAAATTAAGAAATGAAGAGTGCTGAAATGGCCAAGTCAAAGATCATAATCCTATTGAGATGCTGTGGGGTGACTTGAAATGAGCTGTACATGCAAGAAAACCCTCAAACATCTCACAGCTAAAAGAAATTTGCATTCAAGAGTGAGCTATGCTTTCCTCAGACTAATGTCAGACACTGGTACAAGAAACGTCTCACTGCAGTTATTTCAGGTAACACTAGCTACTAAGGGGTTGGGTGTCCTTACTTTTCCACAGTTAGAATATGCATTTCTGTAGAATTACATTTAGAGAGTATTTTGAAAAAAGTAAATTTTTTTTTAAACCGCACAAAATACCCAGGCTTTTAAAAATGTACAAACGTATAAAGTATAAACTTTTTAAAAACGTACAAAATATCCAGGCTTTCAAAGGGTGTCCTCATTTTTTCACATGACTGTACATTGTACATGTACTATGTCACCTCTGTTTATTTTCTTTACATTTTTTATGTACGAAAATGCTATAATACATTTTTTTGGTTTCCTAAAATCATTTGAAATATAATGAAAATGTATGACATGATTACATTTGCAATTTTAGATTACCGTTTAAATGTATTTTTTGTCATCTTAAATCATTTGACATAAAATTAAAATGTATTATTCAAACAGCCTCCATATTTATCTGTTGTTAATTGTTATTTGCTAAAGCAGTTTTTTCTAAAATGCTATTTTCAAAAATATCATCAAACAAATGCTATTTTTGTCACCTAAAATCATATGATATTTAAAGTATTTCATATGATATATCATATATCAAAGTATTGTATATGAAAAATGAAATTGATTATCAATGAATGACTTTTTTTTATTTAATTTTTTTGTATTGGTAACCTTTGTTCTGCCACTTTATTCTGAATATCATTTATCATCTGTATGTGTTGTTAAAAACAAGATATTTAATCAAAATGTATCACATTATGACAATTAGACAAATACGTATGACAAATTTTATACAGGTAATTTTCATTACATTTTTTGTCAGCTTATGCCACTTATCATTCTCCTTGCCTTGAGAATGAACCTCTCAATACAAGTTCAAGAACATCAAATGGACGAATTAACAAATTAAGTAGTCTGTGAAGAAAAATGGGGGTCTTAAATGTCAACTAGAGCACTAAATTACCCTTGAATTATGAGAGTAGTGTGGAGAAATGACTAAAGTGTGAAGCACTGTGTGTCTTCAGCAGAGTTCCAGGAGGTGGAGGTGCACCTACGCAGACAGAAGTCCGGTTTTGGCTTCAGGATCCTGGGCGGAGAGGAACCAGGACAGCCTGTGAGTCCGAAGGCTCAGGAGAAGGCTCGTACTTCAAAACTAACGCACATGCTTCCTAAAACAACTGTCACTGCTACTGGCTAACATCATAACATCATGTCTGCTTTAAACTTTTGATGTCCATATACAGCTTTAAAGTCCCCCTGAAGTCAAAGTTAACATTCATTGGGGTGTTAACATTAATATGTCAATCTTAAGGTCATCAATAAGCTATTGTGCTTCAAAACAATTACTAAATTTGCATTTAAAAGACATTTACTTTAATTAGTATGGATGAAAATTATTTTATGACATCAATGAGAACTTCAGTGTTTCAATAGATGTTCTGACCAATCAAGTGTTGTCTTGTATCTGAAGTCTCTCCCCTACAAGCTTCAGCTGAAATTGAACAAGTCACTTGTTCGCATGAAATTGACTATGCAAACCAATTGGCAACCTCTTGGTCTCTTATGAAGGCAATGCGGAGGTGACTGAAATTGCAATTCATCAACTGATCAGAAAGGAAGTCAGTTCCAAAGACTCGCAATTGTTAAAATGCCCAACTTTACAGCAAAAAATTACAGTCTGGTACAAAAATTGCTTTCAAACTTATCTGTTTAAATTATATTAGGCCTTAATATTCTGAAAAATTAAGGACATGGCAGATATCTGCTGCTGGCCTTCATGTCACCTCAGCTAATTCCAGACATTGAACTTAGCATGTTTGTCATATTTGTTATTTTGTGTTGGATTATTTCTTACATTTATCAAATAATATGGCATGTCATGTAGTTAATTGTGCTTCAGCCTCCATTTTTCCAGCAATTAATATTTTTACATAATTTTATTTATAATGCATACAATTCTTTTCAAATTCTTTATTTATTTTTTAAAACCTCAATGAACTCCACAATCTGACAAATTGGTCATCTGAAATGCTGTCATACTGTAAATAGCCTAGCATTTATTAACACAGACTATATTTGTAGCATTTTAAAGAAAGTTGTTGAAAAATGTCACAAGAATAATATTTATCATGACTAATGAATTATTATTAAATGATACAACCAAGCACATGTGGCCAGAGCACAAAATAGTCACTTTTAAAGAAGTGTTAAGCTTTTCACCCAAAGAAAAAACAATACAAGGAAAATGCAACCAGGAATCTCTAGCTCCACCCACATCCGGCCTGTTTTTTGATGTGGAAGTGGTCAGTGTGTCGTGCCTCCAAGATAACAATGGTTGGCTCTGGCCACTAGTATCTTTAAAAACCTATGGGTGATGTAGGCGTGTAGGGATACATCGTATTATCGAGAAATAAAAATGCGCCAATGCTTATTGCAAATGTAAATTATTTCATTTACAATATTGAGCAATATATTGTTTAGGGTATACTTTAACCTCAAATGTCATATCTTATTTTTTATAGTATTCAATATCAAGATAATATTATATTGTGTTTGAAAATTGAGATGTGTATCGTGACTTTGTGTAGTTACACCCTTTGTTTATGGTTCAAGCCTAGAGTTCACCTAAATACTTGTATATTTACAGTAAGAAAATAATAAACAGTAACTGAACTTGAGTTAAATAACTAATAACTTGTATTTTATTATTCGTAACAATGACGGGGAGGAGCACGAAATGCCAAGCTGCTGAAATGTGCTGTTATTAATATGCATTGCACACTCGCATACACAATGTCAGCATACGAGCCACTAGGAATGTGAAAAATAGGGCACACACAATTACAATTTTCTAAATGATTGATATGAATTCAGACAGTGTAAATATTATTTCCACTGACCGAATAAAGTCTGTTTTCGCAAGCGAATTTCACTGATTGCTGTATTTCAAAGAGTAGAAATAGTTTGCATTGCTAGTAAAGACTTTTCGTTTTCTTTTATGAGTCAGATTTACTTAAGCTTAACAGAGCTTTGATATAAACAAAAACGCTATTGGCTAATTTTAAAAGGGGGAGGAGCAACTTAATGTACTCCATGCAGCTTTCAAGTATCCGTTGAAATTACATCAGCTACATCAAATAAAGCTGCTGAAGTAAAGGAGACCTTTAGAACAGTGTGTGGTGACAGCATTGTGTCTGTGCAGATCCTGATTGGGGCGATCATTGAGAAGAGTCCTGCTGATAAAGACGGTCGTCTGCGGCCTGGAGATGAGCTGATTTCAGTCGATGGGATCGTGGTGGCTGGAAAACCTCACCGTTACGTCATTGACCTCATGCATGGGGCAGCCCGAACGGGACAGGTCAAGCTCACTGTACGACGAAGAGTTCAGCCCACAGGTGACACATTATGTTTGTTTCGACAACTAACACTGTTCAATGGGGAACACGTTTTCTATGGTGGCTTTCACATTTTTGTGCAGTTTTAATAAATGAATTATACACTCTTTATAAGAAATAAAGGTACTCCAGTTGTCACTGGGGTGATACCTTACAAATTTGTACCTTAAAGGTCCATATTAATACATCAAGGATACATGTTAGTACATAAAATGTACAAAAGTTTTCCTCCTAAACGTTTTTAGGTACTAATATATACTTTTGAGGTGCCAATATGGACCCTTTAAGTAAAAATGTGTACCTTTTGTAAAGATATCACACCAGTGACAGCTCATGTACCTGTATTTTTGAGAATGTATACATTTATTTTGTGATTTAGTACTAACATGTAATGGAGGCCAGCTACCAAAGTGCTATGCAGGTAAAACTCACTCCTCTTGCCTCAAAAGGTGCTACAAACGCCAGAGGTCATGGTCTTTAGCCTCCATGTTAGAGCATCCAACTCCTATGCAATGAATTGCCGGTTCGATCCCAGATCAAACCGGGTTGGGTGCGGTAGGACTGGTGCTTCATAAACATAAAATGCTCAGCATATTTTAGTACACTCCTCACAAATCTATCCTTTAAATAAATATTTTCAGTAGAAGGATATACAATATTATGTTTGTGCATACACCGAAATATATTGCCTTTATTCACTGAGAAATGGATACAAATTTTCATTTTTAAAATGGGCTGTACTCAATTATGCTAAGCACTGTTTATAAAGTTAACATTTAGACAAAATTCGAAGCACTTTTTATAAAAATAGTGAAAAGGATGATCACTCAGTATTGTGTATGATTAGTTACAAAGTAATTAGTTACAGCTAATAAATTACTTTTTTGCTAAAAAAAATTAAGTGATTACTTTTCATTTTTCGATCATTTAATTACAGTTACTTATAATGTACTTAAGCATTACATAACTACATACAAACATACATAAAACATAGTTAAATTTAACTGTTCTGTACAGTATATATCAAATTAGAAAAAATATATATTCTGCATAATTTAACATTTTAAACTAAAGATTATATTTATCAAGACAATTGAACATGCTTAAAAAATGAATATTTAAAATATACTTATAAATATAAAAAATTAAAAAAATAACTAGTGAAAAATTAGTTCATGAAAACATAAGGCATAAATTCAGAGATACAGAGTAATTGTGTGTGTGTGTGTGTGTGTGTGTGTGTGTGTGTGTGTGTGTGTGTGTGTGTGTGTGTGTGTGTGTGTGTGTGTGTGTGTGTGTGTGTGTGTGTGTGTGTGTGTGTGTGTGTGTGTGTGTGTGTGTGTGTGAGTGTGTGTGTGTATAATTCACATATTTTTTATGATAGACAGATTTTTTAAACTAAAGAATGTTAGATCTGTCCAACAATAAAATATGGTGTTATTGATTAAAAGGTTCTGTTGTAAAAATGTTTAAAGAGTTTAATTTCTATTGTATATGCATTAGGATTTAATGTGGATTTTAAGTAGTGTTTAGTCAAGTAATTAAGTTACCTTTCAGACAAAGTAATTAGAAAAGTCTTTCAAATACAATTTTAATGATGCAATCATTGTAATTACTTTTTTAAAGTAACTAACCCAACACTGCTATCGCAACAAAATAAAAAATGTCTGATTTTATATATTTACTGGAAAAAAAAAGCTTTGCAATGTTTTACAACTGTTTTTTTAATCTTGTTTTTCAGTTTATTATTTTTTACATATATTTTTATATGTCCAACTATTGTGACATGAGTGTAATACTACCTGACAATTCCTGCTGTTTCTTTTTTGTCAGCTTTTACAGCTTGATATGTCATATTAATTTGAAAATCAATTCTCAGAGTTAAGAATTTAAAGTCTGGGTATTGATCAAAGTAAAGCAATACAATCTGCACATGAAAGGCATTTGAAAGCAGCATAAATAATGTAAGCATTATACAATGTTTTCAGCACAGTGAACTGCATATCAAAAGGAGAAAAACAACAGAAATTTGTTTTAATAAGAACAAACCCTTGAGACGTAAAGCCAAAGAAACAACCTTTAAAGACTAAAGCTTGTTATTTCCAGTCAGTTACAGCAATTACAGACTGCTGCGAAGGATATATTTCTGTCATGTGAAGGTGATAATGAAGATAATGGAGGTAATGAAGCAGCCTGTGTTATATTGTTACTCTCTTTATCTGTCTGTCTCGTCCACTCTGTCTAATAATTTTCAGCGAGCTGAGGATCAGATTGTGCTGTCTGACTCATCCTCTCAGTCTTATCTTCCCTGGACAATCCCTTCTCCCCCTTTGCATCTTGGGGAAATGTCTGGGTTTTGGCTTTTTTGGTTTGCCGTTTGATCACAGAGGGCCTTCAGACCAGCTTTAGACAAACTTTATACTACTGTGTCTTTCACTCACACACACATACACTTTGGTGATACCTGCTGCTGCATCTAAAATATGCATATGAACAGAGAATCGTGTGGAAATGTGGTGAATATTATTAAGTATTAAGGTAACACTTTGCATTAAGGTTGCATTAGTTAATGTATCATCTAACATGAATAAACAACGAAGAATACATTTATTACAGTATTTATTCATCTTTAATAAAGTCAGTTAATGGAAAAAGTTCTTCACTGTTAATTCGTGTTAGCTCACAGTTCATTGGGTGCATTAGTAAATGTTGAACTATGATTAATAAATGCTGTACAAGTATGAAGTAAGTTACTACAGTGGTTCATTTTAGTAAATTCATTGAATAGCAAGACCTTATTGCAAAGTGTGACCAGTATTATAAAAGCATTATGAGTTTTAGTAAGTAATAAAGGGATCACATTTGGTTAAAAGTGTAAGTAACATTTTGAATTATTATTATTACAATTAAAACATTTTTTTTTAGATATATATTTGTTTTACAATTGTATTTTAAAAAGTAAATAGTTTCCTTCTTTCAAAGCTGAATTAATGAGCTTTGTTAAATATGAAATATTTGAAAGTCACATGATTCTTCAGAAATTAATATAAAATTATCATATTTATTGCTGTAAACAGTTATGCAGCATCATATATTTTGTTTGTTTCTGTGTTGGTTGGTTGATTGATTGATTGATTGATTGATACCTGGAACTAAAACAATAAAACAAATGACTTAAACAATAACATTAAAACATTAATATTTATTTAAACAAAATAAACTTTAAAAAAGTCATGAAATTTGTCAACTTATTTTAAAATATAAAATAAGTTGACATATTTCATGATATATAAACATAGAAATACAACCAATAAAAATAACAAAAAAAATCATAAAAAAATAAACATTTTAAAATTTTAAATAAAACATACTTTATGTTAAGGTGCCCTTGTTACAGTGTAACTATTAATTTCATTCCTGAGTAATATGAATTAATTACATGTTCGTACTCTATTGTTTGGGTCAGGATGACGATTAGTTGCATGTAATTATCCTTTTAACTACCCCACCAAGAAAAAAAATAGTACTAGTGGGCATTACAGTGGCACAGTGGGTTGCACTGGTCGATGGTTCAAGCCTCGACTGGCTTGTTTGTCATTTTTGTGTGGAGTTTGCATGTTCTCCCTATGTTTGTGTGTGTTAATACACTCAATTCATATTAACACAATCAATAAAAAAAAACTTCTTTTTTTTTCAACACATCCCATAATTTCTAAAATTTCAACCGTTTACGGTTGGTTTACTATAAAAATCAGAAGATATAAAGTGTACAAACAATTTATTTTTAAAAAGAATCAAAATAAAACATTTTTTAATGCTAAATCATCTTTATTTTTTATAAAAACATTTCAGATTCTCATTTAACATGTTTTCTTGTTTGTTTGTTTTTTACAATAAAACCAAAGTCAAGTGTAGTAGTGCAACAGGATTATGTGTTGGATTTTCATTGTAAACCAACAATGCTGTGTAGTTAAATCAATATTTAAAACAGTCTAAATTACTTTAACAGTCAAAGTGTTTAGCATTTATTAATTGTAATTAGTATAGTAGGTACATGGAACATGTAGCAAGGACACCTTAAAATCCTTAAAAAAAAACTTAAAGTTTTACCAAAAGCAAATATCTAAAAAATAAAAGAACAAGGGGTCTCTTGTACACACTGTGCAATACTGACCCCAAACCTTTGAATCTCAGTATGCTATTATGTAAGAAAATGTCACTTCCTTTCCTCAATTTTTTTTGACTTAGTCCTTGATTTAACAGGGCTTGCCACAGTGAAATGAACCACCAATTACTCAGATATATGTAAGAAAGTATCAAAACTCAGAGTCTTAAACTTCTAACTTCATCTGCCCAAGCAATGAAAATGTAATGTTCTGAAAAATCTGCTCTCTCTTACTGTATTACCTTCAGGCGAACCTTTTCCAGAGAACGGCCGCAGTCCTGGATCAACACAACACAGTTCCCCGAGAAGTGACTTCAACTCCCGAATGTTCTGTAACAACTCTGCCCCCTCTCAAAACTCCGCCCCATCCACCACAGGCTCCTCCCCTCCAGACACAGCAGCCAATCAGAATGCACAGCCTAATGACGTATCCATCCAGCGCAAGGAGACCGAAGGATTCGGATTTGTCATTATCAGTTCACTAAACAGGCCCGAAACTGCAGCCGCTGCTGGTATGGAACAATTATTTCTCAACACTTTAACTTTAACTTCTTTTCAATCTGGGACATTCCATTACTGTAATAGCTCACACAGGCGGGCTGTTTCAGAGGGTCATAGTGATTTTAAAAGTGCAGCATGTCCTCATAAACCTGCGTATTAATAATGGATGCACTTCTATTTGAGGGCTGAAGAGGCTAGTTACAATGTTCTAATGCAGCGCCCACGCTCGTATATAAAAACAGCTCCACTAACAGGAAAGGACAGAGTGCAGATAGAGAGCTCTCTCCACGTATTACGTAAAAAAATAAAACTGCTTGTATGTGTGTGTTTTTAGCTGTGCCTCATAAGATCGGCCGCATCATTGAGGGAAGTCCAGCAGACCACTGTGGGAAGCTTAAGGTTGGAGATCGTATTCTGGCCGTCAACAATCAATCAATCGTCAACATGCCGCATGCCGACATCGTCAAACTGATCAAGGACGCCGGACTAAGTGTCACACTCAGGATCATCCCTCAGGAGGGTGAGTGGACGACTGGGAGGATGTATGTCTGCTATTGAAGCGGCTGCTTGTAATTATGCTTTTGTTATATGGCTTATTTAATCTAAGATGCAGAGATTATTATAAATAGGACATTTATTTGTTGACTTCCTGAGCATTGAACTGTCATTCAATTAGCTCATCCAATGAGTTAGGTTGGGAAAGGACTACTTGATTTTAACAGAGGGTAGGGGAAAGTGATGGTAGGAGTGTTTTAGAGATCAGTTTAGGGAGAAAATTGTTAAAAACTGTGTTTCAAATATAAATGTAAAATTTCATAACACATTGTAGATTTCTCACACGCTGTACATTATTGCAGCACTTCTACATCTTGATAAGCACCTAGTATCTACGTTAATCCAAGTAAAAATCCACCAAAATCCAAGTATTGATCTTATTTGTTTTTTACACTCCAGCAGAGTAGTACAATTTTAGTAGTGTGCCTTTATGAGCACTCAGAACCAGGCTGCAAAGTGGAAAACTGTGCCACACAAATTGCACTTATTTAAGCAGTTAAAAAAACAAACCAATTAAGATAAAACAGTTCTTATATTTGCTGTTTTTAGATGGCCACATGATGCCATTTGAAAAGGTCATTCTTTATTGGGTGTGGAGACATGCCATATTTATAGCTTTCCTTATTGAATAAAGATGCCATTGAATGAAAATCTGGATATACAGTACTTAGGCATAACTGAATAGCAAGAGTTTAGTGCATTGAAAGGAACACACACTCTGATGGTCCACACTGTGTGGTTAATATACACACCACAGGCTGTTTGATTGCCCACAAGGTTTCATACTGGGGTTACAACAATCAAATTTTCCTTATTTTTTAAGATTATTAAAGATTGTATAAATCATACTATGTGTGTAGGACTCTTATTTTGAAAATGGAAGTGGTAAAAAGGAGCAGATCTGTCAAACAGGCAGCCATGCATGAAAATGGAGTGTTCACAGTTCATCAGAATGCAAAATGCAGGATATACGGATTATAAACGTATTCAGTCTCAAACCAAAGAGCCATAAAGTCTGTTAATGTTTGTTTCGTTAATTTAACATACAGTACAGACCAAAAGTTTGGACACACCTTCTCATTCAAAGAGTTTTGTTTATTTTCATGAATATGAAAATTGTAGATTCACACTAAAGGCATCAAAACTATGAATTAACACATGTGGAATTATATACATAACAAAAAAGTGTGAATCAACAGAAATATGTCATATTCTAGTATCATCAAAGTAGCCACCTTTTGCTTTGATTACTGCTTTGCACACTCTTGGCCTTCTCTTGATGAGCTTTAAGAGGTAGTCACCTGAAATGGTCTTCCAAAAGTCTTGATGGAGTTCCCAGAGATGCTTAGCACTTGTTGGCCCTTTTGCCTTTACTCTGCGGCTAATTTTTGGATATGAGAAGTTTTGAGCATCTTAAGTACCTATTAAGCATCGATATCAAAATGTGTACATCCACAATATTCACTTCGCAAAGAAGTGACTACGAGCTACAGAATTGTATCCAGTCACTGTATTTATATGAAATTTATATGATTTATGACAGAAAAAGTCTTACTTAGAATTTTTGTTTTGTTTATATTTAAATTTCAAAGCGAAAACAAGATCATTTTACTTACTCCACTGGCAGATAATGTTGCTTGTTTTCAGGAAAAACTCTTAAATTTGAATTATTTCTTCTGACAGTGAAAACAAAACAATATTTTACTTGCTCTTAGATGTATGTTGATTTTTGAAACTATTCATATCACAATATTTCTTGCAGAAAAATAAAATGTCGTAATATCAGATTTTTCCAAAATCATGCAGCCCTACTGCCTGCATGTTTTAGAGATCAATTTAACACATTGAATCAATGCATTCTGTGGCACCGTTTAACACAATGTAAATACACATTTTCATTACATTGTAATCATAAAAATTGTAAATAAATATGATATGTGATATACTATGTAGGAGATTCTATTAAATGTGGATATTTGCATGACAGCGATCTTTCTATTTTAATTTCAGTTGCACAATATGAAAGATATTGAAAATGCAGCTCATGAGCTTTAAAACTTGGCAAATTTAATACATGCACAAAATAATATTTAGTTTTTTATTTGTACATGCCACATTTGACCACTTTAGATAAATCAATGTGTCTATGATCTTGGAACAAATACTGTAAACTGGACTTAATATTGATTTTGCCTTATTAAAAAGATTAATTTTTCACACTTACATGAACTACCACTGCAGGATGGAAAACTGACATGCAAATTTATTCAATTATTGTAATAAATTTGCTTCTAAAAGACCACAGAAAGTACATGCAAAAAGCTATCAAAAGCCATGGTTATTTTTTGCACTCATGTAACCTTTAATCTGCTACCTTAACAGATGTTAAATATAGACACCTGTATAACAAAGATAAGATTTAGAAATTACTTATATTTTGTCTTTTCTCCACTTTTCAGAGACTAACAGCACTCCTTCTGCAGGCAGCTCAGAGAAGCAAAGTCCTATGGCCCAGCCAAGTCCAGTGTGTCAACCTAACACTGTGAACCAGACCGGTGCAGCCCCTCTAGCAAACTCCAATGCTCAACAAAACTCTGCTCCTCAACCCAGTCCCATAAAGCAACCCATTTCAGAAGCACAGCCGAGCCTTGTCACTCAAAACAGCCCAGCCAATCATCCCAGCTCAGTGACCCAACAGAACCCGCAAACTCAGCCAGTACAAACTTACAGCCACGACAGCAGGCAAGAAACTAACTTAAATTACTTTATTGCTTAAATATGGTTTTCAGGATTAATGGTTTACTACTACAACAACACTATTTTTAGGTTGACACTTTGTTTTCTGAAGAAAATGTGTATAGTGTTTGACCCTGATGGTTGCTCAGTTCCTTGGACATTTGTTGAGGACATTAAATAATATTTTAATGTGCTAGTCATTTTTACCATTGCTTATTAAAATTGAGCAAAACCTATTAATATATTATGCATTTACACTCTTCTTCAGTTAAAGCAAGTAGGAATCTGAATTGCAAAAAAATTAATATGTGTGAGGTGAAATGTTGTGTTTGCACGTAAAACACAGATTTGGCAACAGGTTCATGTTGGTCAATCGAATTTGCTGTGTTGACCAACAGAACACTGTGTCAAAAGCTTGAAAGGTCAATGCCACAATTAAAATTCCATAAATTTTGTCTAAATACATTACAAATAAACTAAAAAAATATATAGTTGAAATCAGACATTTTTAGGGTTCAAATGGATTTAGGCATTTTAATTTAATATTTGTTGAAATGTTCATAAGTTGTAAGCAAAAAGATATATATTTCATTTATCCTGACCACTTGGTGGCACTGTGTGAAAATAAGGCAGGTAACCTAATGGCCTGTTTCCACTGAGTGGTACAGTACAGTAGGGTAGGGGTCGGTACGGGTCACCTTTAACAAGCTTGTCTTTCCACTGGTAAAAGGGTACCAATAGTACTCTTTTGGTGGACATGGTGTACGACAGAAAGTTTCAGTCAACGGCATTCTCGCTCAAGGAAATGTCAAAGTAAAGCTGTAAGGGTCGTTAAAATATCATATGAGAAGCACTTCTCACAACACAGATGCTTCATACACATAAATACTTATATAAATGTTCATTACTACCCTCTCTATGAACATGATTTGATTATAACTGCAGATCAATGATAAAAATTGCCTACTGCAACGTCTGCAATTATATTAAATAAATAAATGCAACATACAGTATATGAACACATACAGACTCTTACAGTCCCAATTTACAGAAAAACTATACACAGCATAGATTTAGTTCTTTTTTGGGTTCAAAAACCACACACAACATAAAGCCCAGAGTCAGTGCAAACCTCTCATCTATATATTTAATCTTCACCAGCACATGTAACCTCTTGTTAGAAAGTAATTCCATCATTCTGAGTTCCTAATAGTCCAAAAGGTGATGATAATAGTTAAACATGGCAGTTTGTCAATTTTTTTTTTTTTTTTTTTTTGGTTGCTGAAACAATCATTTGTTTTTTTGGGGCTTCTCTTTTGTTTTTTCACTGGTCAATCTCGTGTTTGTCTGTTTCTGAAAGAATCGAATGTCAGAACCACTTAAATAATCACGCGCACATTATTATCATCAGCTCAAGAAGTTTGTTATTTCAAATATAGATGCGCGGCGAATGCACATGAGAAAGCAAAACCGCTTGCGCTTTAGACTGCCTTGTTAACCACCACCGGACATAAGGAAGATTCTGCTCTTCTTCTTGACTGTGGCTGTTCATCAAGGCGTCAAGGCTTGTTTGAGCTCTGGTCGACCATGGCTTGTTACCATTTGTATATATTATTAACGTGTAATTTCTCGGCTGTGTTTTTAAAAATGGCGGGTTCTTTGTTTTTATTCACTTGGCTTGTTGCACAAGCGAGTGACTTATCTCTGTAAACCAATAGCGTTCAGTTATCTTGCTTCGTCTTTTCGTACCCTTTTGTTGTACCCTTTGCAAAGGGTACCTAAAAAGTGGTATGGTTTGCTTTTAGGTACCTTTTTACAGTGGAAACGGCCATAAAAGCATACCGAACCGAAACATATCGTGCTGTATTGTACCACTCAGTGGAAACAGGCCATTAGGTAATGGTTGGCATAAAACACTGAACTTGAAAAAGCGTTAAGCGAATATAGCCTCGTGTTTACTTTAACATGCATCTGTAAAATTGTTTCAGCCTTCACCAGTGGCAGTTACATTACATTAAACTCAACTAAACCCAACTGTGACAAGTAAAGTAGTTTGAGTATGTATGAGTGACAACAAATTTGACAATTTTCTCTTCTAATAAATGTAATAAAGCTCTCAATACTTTCTCCCTTATTTTAAAAAGCTATTGACATTTTTTAGCAATACAAAAAAATTACTTATGACTTTAGAAGTTTAACCAATGATGATGACTTCTGAGAATCCTGGAAATGTGATAGATGAAGATGAAAATTGCTTAAAGTTTACTCACCTTCAAGTTATTTTCCAAGCTTTGTTCTGTTGAACACTGACGAAGATATTTTAAAGAATGCTGGAAACTGGTAGCCACTCACATTCACATTAGGAAAAAATAAAAAGTCAATGTCTGTCGGTTTCTAACAATCTTCATTAAAACTTATTTTGTGTTTAACAGACACTTAAACAGTTATTGAACATGTAAATGAAGACAGAATTGATTAACTATGAACTATCCCGTTAACCAATATATAACTGTACAGAAGTGTCCAGTTAAACTAGTTCTGTCATCAAGTTACAGTAAAACTCCCTAAAGTTCTCTATTTATAGAGTGAATCTGAAGCTCTCTGACTCACAGACAGTCTTTCACTATTAGGTAGTTGCGTAAAATCACTTATCTTTCACAGAACTGAATAATTTACCTGCACGGCTCTTTAAAACAGTTTTTAATCATTCATGTAGCCTGCAGGGACCAATGATTTCACTTCCTCTCCATGCTCTCTCAAGTTTCAATATACACCCTAGAGCTCCTCGGGCTCCGCCATTTTCAACAGAACATTATCCTGCATTAAACTTTAAAATTCATTAGAGCTGTAGTTCCGTCAGCGGCAAGACGTTTCTGACAGCTTCTGCTGGTAAACAGACATAAACAGAGTAAATATTTTGAGAATTTCCTCATTCCTGTTATGTGTTTATGTATTATAGTTTTCATGGCTGATAAAAGATACTATTTTGAATTGCCGCAGACAAGCTTGACAATAAACACCATAGACGTGGTCGAAGATTTGCATGCATTCGAGCATACTTCAATTTGAGTAAACAGCATGAGTTCTTTTTACATATATTCTACCATCTGATTGGATGCAAGCTTTCCTGTCGCTCAAACACTTTTGCACACTTGCTCATATGTAAATAAAAGTATTTTTTTAGCTACAGGTCAGAGGTGAAAGCCAGGCAGGATGTAAAACCCGACATTCGGCAGCCATTTACTGATTACCGTCAACCTCCGGTGGACTACAGACACCCTCCTGTAGCAGATTATAGACAGCCCCCAACGCTGGATTACAGACACCCACCACTGCTGGACTACAGACCGCTACCTGCTGACCCTCGCACCTTTCCCTTACCAGACTACAGGATGCCACAGGTAGTTCTTTCACTCTCTCCCACAGTTTTATAAGGAGTATAAATGCTCACTGCTTTATATAATTCTTTAATAATCAGGAGGTGAATATCATGACTATTAGAGCTAAACAATTTTTAGAAAAGAATCTAATTGCGATATAGTGACTACAGTGCAATTATATTGGACCTATAGTGACCACTATCTATAGTGGACTACAGGCTGATGCCTGCTGACCCTTGCACATTTTTATTACCGGACAGCAGGATGCCACAGTTCTTTCATTTCATTCCATTAGTTCTTTCACCATGACCAATAGTGCGATTGTGATTTAATGTGCTGTTTTTTTTTATATTCTGTATTATTCAAAAATAAACATGGAACAAGCGAACAAAAATGACTGACACTTTTTTTTTCTAAAAATCTTCATAAAATAAATGTTTCAAGCTTGGTCACTCATAATTAAAACAATCATATTTACTGTGATGATCAGCAACTGTAGTGCTTATGAGCTCCAGTAGAGAGCCCTCTATACATTTCCTCAGCCAGTCATCCGAACTACATTTCCCACAACACGTTGCACTGATTATTAGTCCACCTGTTCCCCATTAAATCTAATTTAAAACTTCTGCAAGAAGTCTACATGGTGAGTCCTGTGTAGTCTTCACACATTTGCTTACACATTAATGTACTCTGACTTAACCTCTCAAAAAAAAAAAATAATTGGGAGCAGTGTGGTTGGAGCTAATGCTGCTCAAGTTGGAAAATCTGAACTTCAGTGGACATTTGTGCCATGTTAACCAATTATGTGCTTGCTCTTATAGGGAAGTGATTATGACGTAGTGCCTGTTATTGGTGTCCTGAGGGGAAATCCTCTTCCTGACACCGGACAACAGTTCATCAAACTGGGCTCGGCTCAGTCTGAAGCACCGCTGAAATCCTCCATCATCCAGGTATAATTTCTGGAGGAGTTGATGAACCCACAGAGCTGGGTGTACCTCTGAAAGGATCTAGTGGACTCGGACACAACCCCGATGATTTTCAGCCTGCCTAAAGCACATAAACACAGCTACTATCTCAATAAAATCCATGTTAGCCTTCTAGCTACAAAGCTAGAGTCAACAGGCAGATGCAAATCCATATCTATTGTAAAGTTAATATGACGCACAAATGAAGCAAGTAAACTCAAAATGTTCACGCGTCTATTTTTGCGTGAATAGTATGATTTATTCGCTTGTGCCGTGTCTGGTAGGAACACAGCATAAGAGCAATGAGAGCGTATCAAGGCTGGTGGCGAGAGTGTTTCACAAGTCTCGAGTCCCAAGGAGATTTAGTTGGATAATTTTGTTTTGTGTTTACTTTATGATTACATTTGTTGATCGTTTAGCTACTTCCACAGTACATTACATGCTTTTCCAGCATAAACTAAAAACACCAGCAAAGAACAAAGACAAAGTAAGACTTGAAAACCCCATTGCTTAGCATTTAGAAAGTGTTATTATATGTGGGAAATGTAGTCTGGGTGACAGAGGTAATGGGTGGAGTGCCTTCTAGTCGAGGTCTTGGGCACTCCAGCTGGTGATCAAAACATATACTATATACATAACTGCATTCTCATTGTGGCTTGCTGATTTGTACATTAAAGGACCACACAATACATGCATGCTCTTTGCTTACACAATATTCTTATGACCCCCACATGAAGTCTAATTGCATTGCATTTTAAAAATCACATTTTATAGTATCAAAATATTATTGCAAATGTTATTCATTGTTTTGCCCTAATGACTATGTACTCTATGAATGTATTAGGTGACACTTGACAGATAATTTACAGTAAGCATACATTATGGATGTTACAGAAAATTACAGAAATGTCTTTATGGTTGTGTGTGTGTTTGCAGGATTTTGATTTCTTCACGGTTGAGTTGGAAAAGGGGATGAAAGGTTTTGGCTTTAGTATTCGTGGAGGTCGTGAGTATAAGATGGACCTGTTTGTTCTGAGATTGGCTGAAGACGGACCAGCCATACGCAATGGGAGGATGAGGGTGAGATGACATCCCTATCTGTCTGTCTATCTGTCTGTCTGTCTGTCTTTCTATCCATCCATCTATTTAACTGTCTGTCTGTCTATCTATCTATCTTTGTCTGTCCATACATCTGTTTGTCTGTCTGTTTGTTTGTCTCTCCAACCATCTATCCATTTTCTACTGTTCTGTTCTGTTCTCTGTTCACATCTCAGCCGTAATGAATCTGTCATAGCTAATGTGAATAAAACAGTCCCCTCAGGATATTCCCTGTCTTCTTCCTCTCATTAAATCCTTTCATATTTAGCACATTACCTGCTGATCATCATAAACACTGACTGTTCCCTTCCTTTCAAGATCCTCCACTCTGACTGTAAACATCATCTTGCCTTCAATCGGGGTGTGAATTTAACCACAGCACAAAATGCCTCCTAAAACTATAATTAGTTTGTGATGGAACAGACCTGTGGTATTTCGAAACTCCATTAAGCATGAAGTCATAAAGCCATCAGAAGACACTTGCCGCTGCTGTAGTTTTCTCACACGTGCCTTCTAGTAACACTGAAAGCATAATAGGGCTGCTGACGGTGCTTTTACTAACACTCTTCACCTCTGAGGTCAGAGGAACCGTCCCCGAGAACAAAAAACCAGACACTCCTTGTCAATAATGAGAGAGTCATAGTACTCTCTGCCCCTCATTCAAACAAGATCTTAATGAGTCATTAAAAAAAAAATACTTGCCGACCTGCCCAGGCTTCCACATTATACAGACCATTTGAGAGGAATTCTCCATTTGTTACTATAATTGGCTCGTTCATTTTCCCCAGCCCCAGGCCAATTAGTCCATAGACACAAGACAAGTTCAATGCTCCTACATGCTTTGCATCAGCATATATGTGGGCAGAATTTCCTGTTTTAGGGGCAAAAATATGCAATCTTTTTCTACATTGTTTGTTGTGCTTTTAAGGGAGAATATACTGGAATTTATAAAGCATCTAGGTAGAGAAAAAATGTCTTTCAAATTATTGGTTATTATTTAGTTTTTAATATAATTGTCTTATAAATGATATGTTTAATTGACTAATAACTGATTAGCAGATATGTATTTTAATATTAGTATATAAGTAATATTAAAATACGTTATTAGTCATTTGAAATACTTTTTTTAAATAATGTAATAAAATATATTAATTTATGAATACACTACCTGACAAAAGTCTTGTCGTCAATCCCAGTTGTAAGAGCAACACGTAATAACTTGATTTTTAGTTGATCATTTGTAAAAGTGGCAGAAGGTAGATTTTTCAGATGAATCATCTGTTGAACTGCATCCCAATCATAACAAATACTGCAGAAGACCTGTTGGAACCCGCATGGACCCAAGAGTCTAGCAGAAATCAGTCAAGTTTGGTGAAGGAAAAATCAAGGTTTGGGGTCACATTAGGTATATGGGCGTGCAAGAGATCTGCAGAGTGGATGGCAACATCAACAGCTTGAGGTATCAAGACATTTGTGCTGCCCATTACATTACAAACCACAGGAGAGTGACAAGAGTTTTGTCTAAGCAAAGACAGACCTTACTGTCCTAATTAAATAATTAAAAGTCAAGGCATGATCATATTTTATTTTGGTAAAATAAGCGTAATCTAAAGGCCTTTGCCTTTCATATCAGCCATTTCAGATACCAAATGATCAACTAAAAGTTAAGTTATTATTTGTTGTTCCTAAAACTTGAATAGGCCACTAGACTTTTGTCTGGTTTTATATATATATATATATATATATATATATATATATATATATATATATATATATATATATATATATATATATAATATTTATTGTTTTAATTAAAAATATATTTAGATTTAGTATGTGGTTTTATAATATTGTCTCTATACTTTAGTAATTGGAATGCAAGAGTCTCAAATTGTCTCTGTTTTATCATTACTTTATTCATTTATTTATTTTACATCCATCTGTATGTGAATACTCATAAATGGTAAAGGCTGCACATTACTTAGACTAAGCAACTGACACAGATTCTTCCAAAATGAACAGGCTAAAAATGTATAATCTTTTTTTACTGCACAAAAGTATCTTAGCCCACACAAAATCTGAGATGCGTAATATGCATAATAACAGTTATATTGCTCACGGCGCATGATCTGACAATCTGACAGTAATTGTCTTGAAATGTATTGTTGAAAGCGATGGATTCGTCACACTACCGTCATTTTGATGGCTCTGCTTTAATGAAGATGAATTCAAAGCTAAAACAGAATTTTAAAAATAAGACCCCACCAGTTGCCGGGAAGCTAATTGTTGAAATATTGAACATACCAGCTTCCTTTTTTTCATATAGGAAGGCTAATTAACCATTCCCTCATTATCCACAGCAGCCGCACACCTTACTCAAAGTTGATGAAGAGCATCAGAATTGTACCTCTTAGAAGCCTCAAACGCATAATTCATTAGTGATGCTAATTCTCAAATTAATTGCTGCTCGATCTCATTCATGACTGTTAATGCTGATTAGCGCTTAACAAAAACTGTCGACATGAGTTATAGACCTTTATTGATCCTACCGAATAATTATCTTTCATAAATGCCAGTCATATTCAATGCAGGATGCAATTCAAATCTGTCAGAAAATAATTACTTATTTTTTTGTATAAGCATTTGCATGTCTGTGTTCACAGACGTAGAGATTTGAATGCATCCTAACCAGGATGATAAATTTATTTTGTCTGTTTTGCAGGTTGGTGATCAAATCATTGAGATAAATGGGGAGAGCACGAGGGATATGACCCACGCTCGGGCTATTGAGCTCATCAAATCGGGTGGCCGTAGAGTTCGCCTGTTGCTCAAGAGAGGCACAGGGCAGGTCCCTGAGTATGGTAGGTTTAACACTGAAACGCGTAACATACTGCTCAGAAATGTCTACATAGTTTAAATGGACATGAGAGATGGAGTAACTATATGTTTTTTCAATGCAAGACAGATCTGTGAAGAGGTTTTTTTGTTGGCTGATTATTAAGAAAATAGTATAGTAAATTGTCAAAACTAAGCATTTTTTGCATTTAAAAGACATCTAATAAATGTGTAAACATAGACATCTTGGCTACAAAGCTAAATTTGGGTTGTCAGTGAAAATCGAATGGACTTCTAACAATTTTCCAAAAATAAAATTTGATGTAGTCTTTTGTTTTGTTTTTTTGTTAGACGACTAATTACATTTTTTGTAATGACAGCCTTAATTTAAGGTCTCTGCACACTAAAGTCTGAAATTTTCTGATGTGAAAAATGTGTCACGTAAACAAACCTTGTACACTAACTTTGATGCGTATAAATAGTCCATCCCAGAAAAACGCAAAACATTTCAGAGTCAGTTCAAACAGTGATACTTTGTTCTCCTCTCTTCTCCAAAGTAAAAAAGAAAGAGGAATAGGCTACATATTGTGTTCATCCAATACTGCATAGAGAGGAAGGAAAGTTTAGCTCATTATCAAACAGCTGTGCTAGATTATCCTGAAATGCAAAGTTTATTTCAGTAAATCAGTGGAATTTTGATACATTGCTTGTGATGCTTCACACATTCACGTACATACATAAATCCTAAACAGAGACTGGCACTAGACATTTTAATAGATTGCGGCCACGTTGACATGTCGAAGCAATGAACTGAAATCGGACCATGCTTTCTACTATAATGTCTATGGGCAGTATATCAATTGTATGGACACACACACCAAACAGCAGCAAGGCAGAAGTGTGCCAGTCACTGAATCAAGCATATACAGTAGGGGTTCTCAACTGATCGCAACATTCTGTCTTTATTTTATGCACTGTCTTTGTCATAAAGTAATCTGCAGCTCAAACGACGGCATTCTGTATTTATTTATTTTTAGCTTTTCACTTGTACGGTGGCTCTTTAGTCTTGTTTTAGCCAAAACGTCTGTGTATAGATGTCTATTAGATGTCTTTTAAACATAATTAGTTTGGTGAGAAATGATGGTTGAAAGTTTGTGAACCAAGTTTAGATTTTTCAATATTCTTGAATAAAAATGACCTGAGACATCATTCAGTGTTCAGACATGAAAGCGAATTCAATCAAACTAATGAGATGATTAATTCTGGGATTGACAAAAGTACAGCCTGTCCTCCAACTGATTTGTTTGTCACTTTTCTACTGTGGTAAAGTTTTGTTTTCGTGAAAATTTTTGATTTGTCTAGCTCGATTAGACCATTGCGCTAAAGCAGTGCAATAATCATAAGTTCCAATACTGGTTCTGAACTATTATAGGGGTTGTCAAATGTATATTTATATTATCTGTTAAGACACATGTCAGTGCAAACTAATTAGCAAAATCTTGCTTTGATGTTCTTCAGGAAGGGATCAAGGCTTAATTAGTGGGGTCACCACCACTCCCCCCAAACTACCCTCCCCCCTGTAATTTGCTCTCTAAACAGTCCTGTATTTTTATTTGTACTGTAGCAACAGTCATAATTGTTTTTTGATTAAACATGCATTATAAAACTTATTAGTTTTACACCCGAGAGGCCAAACTTCAGGTCATAATAAGCTACTTGCACAAACAACCTATTTGGCCATCTATTAGAGGATACTTTCTAAATTTATGCGAGCCTAACCTTGCGGTCACACCAGATACCGAAAGCAATGTTTCTGATCAGTCCTGCACAACATCTTGGAGGCATTTGAACCATCGCTCGAAACAGCTTTAACTCTGGAATATTTATTTGGGTTTTCTCGCATGAACTGCTTGCTTCGAGTCCTTTCACAACATTTCAATTGGATTAAGGTCAAGACTTTGACTTGGCCATTCCAAAACATTAACTTTGTTCCACTTTAGCCACTCTTTGGTCGAACATCTTGTGTGCCTGTGGTCATTGTCTTGCTGCTTGACCCACTTTCTTTTAAGATTCAATTTAAGGACAGGTGTCCTGACATTTTACTTTAGAAGTTGCTGGTAGAAACCAGAATTCATTGTTCCATCAATGGTAATCACATTATATGTAGATCTGGCTTTGGGTCTCCACTTCTTTTACATGTAGATTTTCTCTGGTTATTTTTTTCTGTTCAGTCTGTCAAGGTCAGAAAGATGTGAACAATCAAGAGATGATATAATCAAGAGCTTGACATTTAAATCTAAAATTGTAATTGTAATATAATTGCTTTAAACAATGTCTTCTATGTAAAGTGCTACATTAATAAACACGCATGACTTGATTGGTAAGGTGAAATACAGAGCTTGTGCAAACATCCTCATTGCTATTATCAGATGCTGCCATTTTCATTTTGGTACAAATGTATAGAAATTAACCATTAATTCACCAAAAACAAAAACAAAAAACCTTTATGTTGCGAGAGTTTCCTCCTCTTCCTTCCTCCTCCTCCTCCTATTAGCTATAGGTCATATTTCAGGGAATTGGCCAATAAAATGACCTATTGGTATTCTGTTGTATAGTTTGGAGGACAAGTTGCACTGTTGAGTTTTGACTCTATCTGTGCTTAAATTATGGTTATGTTGGTCTACCTTTAGGTGATGGTTTGGGGTCATGTTTACGCATATTTGCAGAAATCTGAAAGATCCTAAAGGGTTCACAAACTTTTAAGCATGGTACATATTTAGGATGCCTTGTGTGTATTATGAAATAATACACTCCTACAGACTTTCTCACGCCAGGACCAGTAAATGTGTTTAGTTGACACGGTTTATACATCATTATTTTATGCTTTAAATTAGTTATTTTTATCTGTACTTATAGAAGGAGCTCACCATCAGTTAAAGTTTTTGCTATGGCTTATTTTTAAAATAGTTAGAATTGTATCCTCTTATATCACAAAAAGGCTTAAACCTAGTTCCATACCTAGAATGTATTTGTCTAAAGATAGACAACAGTAATTATTTTTTCTAAGGCACATATATAAAAAATACTTAAATGTCTCAATTAAACTAAGACCTAATTCTTGCTTAGTCTAAGCCCTTTATGTAAGACCGGGACTAAAAATGATGTCCATTTGATAGTTATTGTAGTAATTGTAAATCTTTTCCCAAAAATCAGTTGAGAATCAAGCCAAAGCTACCAAAGAAAAATCCTTCTCTTGCACACTAATATTTAATAACCCCAAAACAATTCAAAAGCTTTCCATTATCTTGCTAACACAACACTCTTTTTAACATGGTTATGACAGCATGTTCTTTTGTATATTAATCCAGTAGCTAGTCTTCTTCTCTTTCATCAGTGTTATGGTGAATAATTTGTCCTTCCTTTCTCAATTTTCCTCACTGAATACTATCTCAGCTCTGATCTTAATACTGTCTTAGCCTGTGGCTGCTGTTCTAACCCTAATGATTGGTCTAGGTTGTTACTTCGCCTCTTATAGGAATGGTATCTTCCAGTCTCTCCATGTGCATGAAAAGTGACAACCATGGCTCCCCCTATTTCTTCCTAATGGGCCATCCTAAAGACACGGTTTGTAACAGAGTGCATGTGTTCTAACACACCAATCATCATTCTAATCAATTCTGCGTGCTGTGGTTTGGATTGCTTACATGTCTTCAGGTTTTATTTTTATTTTTCACATATATAAATGTGCGTGTGTGTGTGTATGTGTTTTGTGACATATCAGGACACAAATCTGTATAATGGAATGACACAGGTATTACAAGAAGGTAGTAAAATATGCATTTCTATAACATTTCTTAAAAAGCTTATAATTCACAAAGAATAAGTTTTTCCTTTTTTTTCAGAAAGTAAAACAGTACAGTTCCTGTGAGGGTTGGGTTTAGGGGTAGGTTGGAGGATAAGCCAATGGAAAATGCAGTTTGCACTGTATAAAAAACTATGGAAACCTATGTATTGTTCCCACATTTCACAAAATTGTTCAGAATTTTTATGAATTGGCTGAAAGTGTATTGCTTTCCTATCAGGTTTTTTTATTATTTTTTCTTGCTTGCTTGCTTTTTGTTTGTTTGTTTGTTTGTTTTTACCAATATGCCAAAGTAAACCAAGGTAAAAATGTAGCTATGAACATAGTAATTTAAAGTTAAATTGCAAATTTGCTATACTTCAATTAAATACATTTACGCAGTGACTAATATTTAGTTATTTAATTTTGTATCAATATATATATATATATATATATAATTCGCAATGAGCACTGATTATACTTTCATATATTTTACTAAAACATTGTAATGTATGTAGTACTATTTTTTCATGCAGGGATTTTTTTTAGATTTTTTAGGAAGCAAACTTGCATTAACAGAATTTCTCAAGTCATTTCTCACTTACATTTTGTGTTCGACAGACAAAAGAAACTCAAAAAGGTTTATAACCACTTGAGTGTGAGTACATTTGAATAAATTATTCCTTTAACAGTAATTAATTGTATAACAACCAAGTAATAATATTGAGTACATTTAGGATATTCAATATTCTTTCCATGCACAATGAAAGCTCTGAGCTACTTCAAAAACTCCCACATTGAAGAGAGACTGATCTACCCCTTGACTCACATACATTCTTAACATTCTTCTAACCGACTCTCCACTGTGATGGGAACTTAATGCCTATGAGCTTCTAACAACCACTGAAACAACCCAGTGCACACCTTTGCTTTGAAATCTGCTCACATTTGGCCATCCCTTCCCATGCATTTAGTATCCCACTGCGATCTCTGTGGAGCCACAAAGGCCGAGCTGAAATACAGCCATCATGAGATGGTTGTGTCAGCCTCTATGGTTTTATATTCCGTACCTGTCTTCTATTTCACTGTGAAAAAGCCTTTATGAGCTCGGATTCATATTTTTCCTCTGTAGGCCAGTGATTTCTGCTGCTCCAGGGCCATATAAACGAGAGAAATGTACCCTTGTAGAGTACGAAAAAGCTAGCAGGGAGACACAATGATATGTAATTGTTTACACTTGCTATATTTCCCTGCGCTTGAAGCTTAATGATAAAGGGATAGTGTTGTAAGTGTTTGTTTTCTTGTGCTGAAATAAATTCCCAGCCAATTCGCTTGTTAGCAAACGTTAAAATGGCCGCCTGGGCTCATATGTGCTGCGTAGGTTGGTAGAAAGCTAAGCAGTCTTCAGTGCATCCTGCAATATATGAGGTGACAGGTAGGATTGGGGATGTGTAATGAGAATATTAAGGTTGGTGACCCTCTTTCGGTTTGGGTTGTGGGTGTGTGGGTAAAATATGCTATTGTGTATTGGGAGAGGAAGGAGAGGAAGTGTGGAGATGTCACTCCAATATAAGCATCTCAGTGTGAAGTGATGTGTGTGAGTTTATGTGTGGGGAAAGGCAGATAGAAGGAGAAGCCAATGGGAAAACCAGATTATTCCACTTCTAGTGGAGACATGAAACCATTTTATTATCCTGTTTTTATTATAATATGTGAACAATAGTGATTTATGTCCTTACAGAAAAAAAGTACTTTGATAATTACTTGATGCACTGATTATATCATCTGGTAGTACCATGCTTTGATGTTTATCATGCTGCTTCATTTAAATGATACTCCAGCATCAAAGATATTTTGTGGATTTATCATAATATAGGTTCCCATGGCACTATGATGATACCATGTGCAAAAAACATAGTAATACTATGGTAATCTTTTTGCATGGTTGACATAGATTTTCTCTCTGCAGTTCAGAGCAAACCCATCCCCTGCAGCCAATTGTAATATCTTTCATACATTACGCAAAAACAAATAATTCCAAAACTATACCTTACCTAGTGTCTTATTGATAGAGCATTCGGGTTCTGCTCGTCGCAATTAGATTGAACTGTTGACCAATGAAATTAACTGCTGGGTTGCGTATGCACTGAGCTGGTTTCAGAGTAGAACATTGTTGTGTTTTTTTTTCTTTAGTTTGTACTTGTTTGCCTGTGTTGGCTTTAGTTTCACTAATTTATTTTTATTATTTTTTTGTATGTTCTTTTTTTTTGTATTCTGGTGTCTGTGCTTGTCTGTGTGCGCGCGTGTGTGTTCCAATTTCTGCTTTAATCTCTTTTTGAATCATGGATGTATCTGTTATCATGTTTCCCCAGCAGATAGTCCCGCCCCCTGGGATGCTCACCCTACAGCCTCCCCAAGTCTGTCGGAAGTAGCACCACCCCTCGACAGCTTATCCAATCCATCAGCTTCTTCTCATGTGAACCCACCCACTGACCCACCTCATACATCGTCCTTGGAAGCAGTAGGTCCAGACTCTTGCCAGGGTCCAAGAGGCTCAGAGAGTAGGGCTCTAGAGCAGGCCAGTGTGGGGAAGAGGTCAGCTTTGGCAGGTGGAGTTGGGGGTGGGACCAAGCAGAGGGAGGGTAGCAGGACCAACCGTCGCTCAAGTGGAGGGAAGGGTCAGCAACAATACCTTGATGAGTTTGCGGGAGAGCCAAAATCCCACAAAAGCAGCCGGGCAAAGTCCAAGGAACGCAGAAGGGAGCGAAGCAGCACTCCGTCTCGCAAGCGAGACTCGCCCAAAACATCCCTGACTGACACCAGCATGAATGGGGGAAATGGATGCCTCGATGGTAGCAACAGTCAACAAGGACCTCTAGTGCCATTCAAAGCCCTACCAAAGGAACCAGAAAAAGGGCAAATGAGCCAAGAGAGTAACCCCAGCCACAACTCCAAGATCAGCAGTGCTGCAGGCAGGAAGGCCACAGTATCCCCAGGGCCCTGGAAGATCCCTGGTACGGACAAGCTACCCAGTACCCTACGCTCAGCCACCTCCACAATCAGCAGATAACATCTCAACCCAATCTCAGGCCCAAGTTTAAACCTTACTTTTGGCTCTTTTTTTCAGCCAACTCTTGGACCAACATTTGGCTGTGAGCCAACTTGTTTTGAGATTGGTTGGGCTTGGGCTCTGCTTGATTGATTTTCACAGGCTTGCTCTACTTGGTAGAGATCGTTTTTAAAATTGACTATGTGCCATCCCCCTACAATCCTCACAAAAGACCTTTCCATGCATTTCTAGACAGAGCATTTTTTATTTATATTTTATTCTAAGTTATTTTAACAGGTATGACACCCACCACCTTAAGAACTGGAAGCATTCACTCCAAAAATATCACGGTAGAATGAGTGAAGCATGTAGCGTGCAAAAAAGAAACCCAGACTGGTATAAACTATTGGGGAAAAGCACTCAAGACTCAGAGATGTACATGCATAGAGAACCACTTACTGACTCTTAACCACCACCGGTGGCTACAGCAATTTTTATACGCCTTCATTAAAAAATGAAGAATACTGAAGGAGTTGCCTGACATACAGTTTTTGTGTATTTGAAGAATGGAAATGATTAAAAAAGATTCTTTATGAGCGGACACTCAACTATGGAACTCTGCCTTAAAAGACTGACCTGCAGATGTCTGTATAAGGGTCGGTGAAAAGAATATAGAAATAGATATATTATATGACTACATATATGTGAGACAAATTGTAAATATGGTCTTTATACACCATTGTGAGCCCATACTGGAGTGTTGCCATTATACATGGTGTACTTTAGAAAAGTGTAATCCAGAATTTATTCCTATTCCATTTTAAGGTGCATTCCCACTGACAGCAATTTAAACTCTTGTGGGTTTAAATCTTCTCAACTTCAAAATACTGTAGAACGGAAACAGGAAACAAATCACATTACCTTCACTGTCTGCATTGACATTGGCAGTTGCCTTCTCATGTTAAAGATCTCATAGCCAGCGGTCACTTGTATCACTTAAAACGGCCAACTTTCATTGATCAGTAATGACTTCCAGTAGCTGAAAATGTTGCTGTCAGTGTGAGCGCCCCTTGACACCACTGATTGGTCAGCTGCTCTGTTAGTTTCTGGAGGAGCTGGTGGACTTTGACCTTCCCTTGACTCTGTCATCCCTGGTTCAATCTATTCTCCCTTTACTTGTTCAAAGCAATTTAAAGGAGTGCAAGGTGTTTTCGGTAAATTATAGAATGATTTTGATTAGGGCAGAGTGCCTTATGCCAGAGGTGTCCAGTACTACTCCTGGAGGTGTCCTGCAGAGTTTAGCTCTGATCCTAAATAAACACACCTGACCTGGTGTCACCCCTGTCTCAAATGACACAATTAACTTCTTCTTGCGATCTTGCGGACATACAATGACCACCATATTTGCATGTCCGTTAAGTCAATGAGACTGTATAGTGTCTCACTCATTATTTTACCCTTAAAATGGGTGCTCATGAGCTCTCCCTCTGTGGCTTCTATGCATTCTTGATATGCACTTCAGCTGAGCCACAATGAGAGAAGCTCCACTGCAGCCTTCTACCCAATGTCAAAGTGGCAATACATCCCAAAAGTGTGGACTCCACAAACCGCAAAGGTTAAGGGTGTGTTTGGGAAAGGCCTTAATATGCACATGTGGACTTGCACCAAGTCTACAATACCACAGTAAATCCACAGTGACTCCTTTGCTGCTGCCTGTCCCAAATGGCAAACTTATTGTCATGTACACAAGACCATAGGGTGTCCCATTTTTTTTTATTTTAGCTAGTGCCCACGAGTGCCTCTTTTGCAGTCAACATGAGCTCTAGATGTGCATGTTCAGTCAAGTCCACCTTAAAATGAGCTCCGCATCAGACTACCCAACAATCAAAGTGGATTTACTTCACGCAAGGGTGGACTCGGAGGAAGGCAGCAAGGGTTAAGGGTGCAATTTGGGCCAGGGCAGGAAGGGTATCACAAAATCATGCACTGGACCGAAATGTGCAGTGTGTCTAGGCAAGTGTGCAGGTCTCCAGGTTGGAGATGAGCTCTGCAGTAACACTAAGGAGTTGGATCGGACATCCTTGCTTTATGCTGACCACTTGATGCTTGATTTAAGCTCCAAATCCTATACAACCACATCAAACAAAAAAAAATAGGCTGCTATATATTCATTGGACTACTTGTTCCATTGAAACTGCAACAGTAACACCAGATCTGAACGAGTACAGTATGTTGTCGCATCCCTGTCTTTGAATGCTGATTGGTGTGTAGATCAAATGAGAGACTGGTTTATGTCTGCAGTATAGATATATCAATTTAAATCGGAGAGCTATTTTCATACATAGATAGAAAAAAAGGTGCCAGATATATATTATCGAAATCTTGGAGAGAGAAGTTTAAATGTTTGTTGAGCACTTTGTCTTTCGGTAGACATATAAAATACAGTACTGTTAAGAGTAAATGCTGTGCATCCATGAATATTTATCAGTTAATTATCAAAATCTTTCAATGATGATTCATTTATTAGTATTTCCCTTATATAAAAGTTTATTTCTAAGTCTATTTCACATGATTCACGTCCTCTCAGCAAATGATGCTCATTCCTTGTCTTTACAAATGGGTGATTTTTACACGCTTCCTAATCATGAAAGACAAATCAAAGAAGTGACATGCAGTTGTGTTCTGCGTAATCATCATTCACCTTCAGTGATGTGTTGTATGCTGTAACTCTTTGTATATTTACTGTCCTTCAATTTTTTCTAGCTTAGCTACAGTAGTATGCTAACACGTTAGCATGCTGACCAAAGGCTAAATTAAAAAAACCTATTTAATGGTCTCTGTCAGTGGAATTACTTTCATTTTCTTATGCTGAATCACTTTAGCTTTGGTTTTAGCAGACTGGGGAACATTGACGTGAATAATGTGAAAGAGCCTTGATACCTGGGCATGAAATGTAATCAGTGGGAATATTGAGGTGTAATAGTACTGTACTTTTCTGTTAAATCTGGAGATTATTCTACCCCATATCTAAATACTCTTTCATAATTCATATCATTCTGTGTTATATTGCCATTAGCGGCACTAGCTGGGTTTCCATCACCATGTGTTAATGTGCATTTTTAAGTTTCGCATGAGAAAGAGTGATCTGGCAAATGGAAAAAGAAAAATCCTTTAATTCACAAAAAGTTTTTTGCTGACTCACTATTAGTGAACATCACACACTTCACCAGTTCTCTTGCCTTGTTTACTGTTGGTTACTAGGTTACCAATAGGGATGGCTAAGGTGAAACAGTGACACAGTGTCGAGATCCCAAAGCAAAAGTGTTTTGAAACACTACACCGAAGCCTGATCCGAAACACCCAGGTAACGTGACTAAGGTGATTCGAAACACCCAGGCCATGTGAGTAAAGTGTTTCGAAACACCAGGTCACTAAAGTGATTCAAAGCATCGGTCAATTCAGAAGCGTTTAGAGACCTGGCAAATCTGCTTTTTACTGACAGCGTCTGAAAAATCTTATGTAGCCTCTCATGTAGTAACTCTACTGCAAATGGCCCAAGTTCGGATCCCGACCTGTACTAGTACTCTGAATTTATGACTTAATGTATTTAATAATGTTTTTAATGACCAAAACAAAACATATTTATTCACTAAGTGTTCATTCGGATGTCAGAACAATGTTAAAACAAAACATGTTACAAAACAGAGCATTTAAAAACTAGCATCTCTAACTACATCACCCTGAATTCAAGCCTATTGGCATGCTAGTCTGGAACTCCCACCGCTTCACTAAATCACTTGAAACCTCAACTCTACAGCGTGGGGTTTAATACCTTAATTTTTTATTGTTTTTTATTTTGCTAACTTTAAAAAAATATTGCTTCACGTTAATAGGTAAACCCGACTATTGTCGATAACAACCCTGCTGAAAAATCCAGCTTAAACCAGCCTATATGGTTGGCTGGCTTTAGCTGGTTGACCAGCCTGGTTTTAGAGGGGTTTTGGTCACTTCCAGGCTGGTTTCCAGCCATTTCCTGGCTGGTCTTAGCTGGCCAGGCTTGGAAAAAAAACATCTAAAACTAGCTTGACCATCCAGGTTTAAGCTTGACATAGCTGGTTTTGGCTGGGCTTCCAGCCTGGCTAGGCTGGTCAAGCTGGTTTTAGCTGGTCATCTCCCAGCCTGACCAGCTAAGACCAGGCTGGAAATGGCTGGAAACCAGCCTGCAAGTGGCCAAAACCCCTCTAAAACCAGGCTGGTCAACCAGCTAAAGCCAGCCAACCATCCTATGCTGGGTTAAGCTGGATTTTTCAGCAGGGAAATATACCATTTTAGCTTCTTATGAGTCATTTCTGTGCAACTAGTGGCATCATGCAAAGCTAAAAAACAACATTGGCTTAACCAGTTGCATATTTTCAAAGTAGTGTCTTAATTGTTTACAACTTTATACCAATTTTATTAAGCTGATAGTGGCACACAAATTACACACTTCTTTAAAAAAAAAAGCCAAACCCCCAATGGTGCTTCATTGTGAATTCCTCCTGCAATACTGTCTGATATATTGTACAATCACTCACGTCTTTGATGACTTTGTTACACTGAATTAATATATACATGTCAACTTCAGTTTCTATGAAAAGGACCCCAGTCAAGACCCCGTCAGGCCCACCCATTGTCATAATATCATCTCTATTATATTCATCCTCCACAGAAATAAAGCAATGACTGGTTCCACTGACAACTGTTGTAGATGACAAGGAGAGCCGACAATGATCTAGTCATTACAAGATAGTGCTAACATTTCCCTGATAAAGGCAAATTAATTGAAGCACTCCAAAAGCGAGTGTGCCTTTGTGGCTATTACATTCTGAGTGGTACATCCTTAGAAATCACAGACAGACAATGACATTGTCGAAATGTATTTTCCACAGAGTACCAGCAAAGACTGCGTGTGCATATGAATGAGTTGAATCACTCCAAAATGGTATAGTAACCCTTTATAGTTAAAAATGGGCTTAATTTGGTTCAAAGTTAAAGTTTTTGGAAAGAAATAAGACTTTTTAAGGCCAGAAACACACTCTTTGAAAGTTTGTCAGCCATATTTTTGTTATTTTGGTGCTAACAACATTCAAGAGGACAACACAGTTATCTTCTAATGTGTAAACTGTTGTGTTATAAAGATGCCTCACATTTACCATGTTTAGTGTATAATATTAAAGATCCAAGCAATCTGGAGGTTGTTTGATTGCTTAAGGGAATATGAAAATGAAATGAAAGTTTAACTACTGTATGGTTTTGCCACACTAAACATGGTGTGTAAAGTATAACAATGGTTATACAAACACTAAGCATCTGCCAAGGACCATGGTTACTACTTTACAACAATAAAACCAAGTTAGTTAAGGGTTAATTAGCTTATTAGCATATTAGAAAAGTTACCCGTTTAAAACATAACTATGGTTTTACTACAAATAAAAGTAAAATATTAAAAATAACCTCAGATTAACAATGGTTTTATAGTACACTGTGGTTATGCAAAACATGGCTAGCTAGCTAATACGAAGTAAGAAAAAAAAACATGGTTTCTATTATGGTTTTAAAATCATGATAAACTTTCATAAAATGTTAGCTAGCAATTAGCATATCATGCGCTTTACCCTTGAAAAAACAAACTATGGTTTTACTACAAATAAAACCATGAAGAAACATGGTTATTGTAGATAAACCATGATAACCACAAGTGTTTTTTTCTACACTAACCATAGTTTAGCCATGGTATTTATAGTAAAACTGTGATTACACAAATGGTAATCAGACTGACAATGCTAATAGAATAGGTCCTACACATAAAAAAACATGATTACTAAACCTTTTACTGTAATATAACCATGCAATTAATAAATTTTCATTGAATGTTAGCAAGCTAACAGCATGTAGCTTTAAGGTTGCCAAAATTGACTAATAATTGATATTTCAAATCTGTCATAACATATTTACGACACTTTGACCATAATAAAACCATATTTAGCTTCAAAATATCTTCACCTTTTATTAAATCAGGAATAAAAAGAGTGAAATAAATTAGCGTGACTCCACCTTTAGTAAGTTAGCTGGCCAACAGCATTTTCAAATGTTAGCTTCATGAAAAAAAGTTGGCACTAACCTGAAAACTATCACTAATAACACTATGAAAAACTGTGTTAAGAATGCAATCGGTTGCATTTAGCATATTATTGGAGTGCAAAGGGGGATGAGCTTGCACAGTTAGCAACATTTGTAGTCATGTAGACTAGAGGTGACCAAACACGCTCCTGGAGTGGCGGTGTACTGCATAGTTTAGCTCCAAGTTGCTTCAACACACCAGCCTGAAAGTTTTTAGTATAGCTAGAAAGAGCTTGATTATCTGGTTGAGGTGTGTTTTATTGAGGTTGGAACTAAAATATGCAGGACACCGGACCTCCAGGACTGAGTTTGGACACCCCTAATGTAGGCCTACTTGTTTAGTGTGTTTCTGGCTTTAGGGGTCCTTGTCATTTGTAGAGTAGCAAGTTTGTTTAAAGAGAGAATAGTTTCAGTGCTTGACGCTGTTTTCTGATTTTATTTTCTCAAGATTGCCAAAATGCTTCAGAGATGCTACTGAAAAGATTAAACCTGATAAATATGTGATATAAAATGAGATGATTTATCGCGAAGCCACGACGGCAGCGCAATGCCCAAATGGGGCTCAGAATCACTGTGTAAAACTCAAAGAACAGCGCGGTTCACCCTGTACAGCTCAAAACTATAAATATGACACTATGTACTATGACCTAGTCACAAAAACTGTAAGTGAGCTACTATTTTTCTGAAATGCAACTCAATGGATATATACTTACTTTTGCAGAGCTCTTGTTTACTGTATGATATTTACTGAAATACTGTCAAATAAAACCTTGACATGGTGTAAAGTATTCAAGTAAAATACAAGTGTTCTGTGAGAGTTTGATTTACTTAACGGCCTGAGCTGATTTTGCGCATAAACTGTTTAATGGTTTATTTTAACGATAATGCTGTCTGTGGGTTGTGACACAATTGCAGGATAAGGTAAGTATAACCTCTAGGTCAAAGAAGAGATACATTTTTGTGTCCACATCAAATTAAATTTACAAAAGTGATTTTATATACGAAGAAAGCAGTCCCAGCAGGCACAGGATGTCAACTTGATGTACCCCAGACAGGCGGACATGCCCACCCTAAAATCAACCAAATATCAATGTCTAAAGATGTCAGCTTGAGATTGTGTGGATGGTACCACTATGACGTCTGTCAGACGTTGGATTTTGGTTGCCATACCTTACGAATAAATTTCAGATTTGACATAAATATGATGTTGGTTTAAGATGTTGGATCGAATTTGGATTTTGGTCACTTTTCAACAGAACCTAAAATCAACCAAATATCAACGTCTAATGATGTTGTTATTGGACGTCAAAATAATGTTGTCCATAGATGCTGGCTAAACGTTGAATTTTGGTCATTTGACATCACGACTTAAATCCAACCCATGTGTGCCTGCTGAGATGATGTCAAGCAAAGTGTGTAATATAATTTTGTCAAAATAAAATATGGGTGAAATAGTGTCCCATTGGCATTAAGCATACTGATATTTGTGTAACAATTAAACAAAGTTCTTTTTCTGACCAGTGCTTATTAAACTTTATAAAATAATTAGTGATTGTACTAAATTATGTGTTTTAAATTGAGAAGAACATTTATGGAAAACAATTATATATTGGAATTAATAAGTTTTCTTTCTTTGTCATTAAAATCCATTACAATCTTATATCCATTCTGAAATTC